GTTATGTGGTGTCATTCTGATGGATCGATAACTTAATGATTTTTGGAACTCGGTTAGCCACAAAAGTGTTCGAATGACATGGTGGTTTCACTAACAATGAAATTACAATGTTGGAATTTGTCCAACAATATAAATAGTGAAGATGAATGTCGAATTGAGGCACTAAGTTGTCAATTATCTCATCAAAGTGAGTGGCTGTTCATAATTCCATTCTAGGAATAGATAGGGATTTAATCGGCGCTGCTTTCGTTTTTGAAGCCAACAAGTGGGTGTAAAGAATGAAGTGGAGAAAGAATTTGAATGTATATATCTCTTGTGCATCCGAAAATCGGTGGAATTCTATTTCATGGTCCGGAACAAAGTTAAACCACCGTGGAACAAGAATCTCATTGATGTAAGAAAGGGAAGATTGAAATGCTTTCCATAAATCAATTGATTTTGGTGATACCCCCATCCCAACCCACTTTATCTAGCCATATTTCTTGGATTATTATCTTGGCTAAAACAATGACTGGTAAAATTCTGCCAGCAGGATCAAATAATCTTGATATTTGGGAGAGAACCTCTCATCATTACGGAGATTATCTGATGGGACCGAGAGGAGTTGTTTTGAATTGAAGGTCCATTTCCGAATGTTTAACACTGCTGACTTCAGTCATAGGATTAAATCACGTACGGTTGAAATTGCTGTGTGGATATCATGTGCACCTCAAGGGCACCATCTGCATACATGTTATTCTTCAAAACATGACTACCTAATGGATATGAATCTTGGACGTCAGTGGCTAGTTGGATCATCGTACGTATCGCAAGATACGATGCGCAGTTGACACAAAAGGTTACAGTCTTTAACTCGTAGTCTTTATTGTTTTAGTTGTATTTTGGCGGAAAAGGATTCTTTAAAAGCGGGTGTGAGAAGAAGGCACAACGATTTGGTGACACATTTTCTCTATATTGCCCCTTAAAACAAAGCGAAAAAACCTCACTTAAGGATAAGAATGGTCAAGTCGTTCTGTAAGTCTGGATCAGAATATAAAACGTCATTAAGACATGTACCATTCGATGTAGCGTAAAAAGCATTGAAAACCACACAGACTTTTGTGATAGAGCTATCTGGCTTTACAACAGCATGATGTGGCAAATGGTAGTTGTCTGGTAATTCTGAGACAGTAGGAGATACTACTGGAATCATATGTCCTAATTTGACATATTCTTCAATATTGAGATCGTATTCTCTTTTCAATTCTGGTTTTTTAATCAGACGACTACAATGTCTAATAAATTGGGCCATTGCACCTTTTCTAGACTGACCCAAGGTTAGTGAATCGGAATATTCTTCTTTAAACGGAAGCAAAACCTTTTATCTTCCATTTTCATCTCCAGTTGTCGTTCTCTGATAATTTTCATCACAGTGTCTATCTGTTTTGGACATTACACGCTGTTGTGGAATAGTCTCCATCTCCCAAAATTTCAGAAAACTTTTCTCTAAAGAAATTTCGCAGAAGTACGATAAACATGTAAAAAAGGATTTTGGAGCCTTGGTTGGAATGGGACCAGTGAGGATCCATCCAAATACGGTCTCCTGGGTGAATAAGGATCCGCAAATCGCTCGCCGGTAACCAGATAACATGACAAAGGGAAGTAAGTCTGCACCCAATAGGATATCAATCTTGAAGCTTCGGTAAAAGTGCGGATCATCTAAGTCTAGTTTTGGTAACGAGGAGAGAATATCAGACCCTATTGTGCTGTAGGGAAGGTTATTGGAAAAATGAGGCACGATAAGGCTAAAACATCAATCTTGAAAGCTTTATCCGCATAGGAACCCAGGATAAAACGACATTCTTTTTGGACAGCAGCATGAGTGGGATTGCAATAGTACAACACCACGATTGAGCTGTAATCTCAACTAAAATTGAGTAGCGTATTCTCATTGGATATGCGCAACCAAAGCAGAGAGTATAAGCATAGGTTGCAATAGAATGTATGGGGCTGAGAAGAGAACAATAAGTTGAGTTTTAATTTCTACACATACGAGAGAAGCGCATTCTCAGTGGACATGCGCATTCGAATAATAGAAAAGAAGTGAATGATGCTGAAACTGAGTTAACAAAATTATGCAAGCTCTGATCACCACATACATACACAATAGTAGCATATACTCACTCAGATCAAAGACGACGCAGATAGTTAAGCTGAACAAGTTAAAAAGCAGTAAGCTGGGCCGAACTTTGAATACTCTCCACCATTTGGAACAAATTCTGTTAAAATTTTAAAAATACCGAATATTACCGCCATATTGGGGTCTATACGACGTGGACCTACATAGGCATTCCTTGTCATAAGCCATTACCATATGTAAATTCGAAACTTGAAAAAAACGGTGAACTTAAAATCATCAAAATAGGGTTTATAGGGAGGTACCGGTTTATCGGAGATGTACGAAGACCTGGATCAGCATAGACAATTTTACGACAACTCAAACAATTTCGGTGGGTATTGTACGTAAAATCGTCAACATTCCGAATAAAGGGAGGTACTGATGTATGGGGCCTATACGAAGACCTGGACCTGTATAGAAAATTTTCTGAACTCTAAATATGTAATTTGAAACAGTTCTGGTGAATAATGACACTTAAATCATGAAAATACCGAATATCGAGAGGTACCGTTATATGGAGGCTATACGAAGACGTTATCCTGCACAGACAATTTTCCGTCATAGGCTGTAGTATCCATTACGAACTTCAAATACCAAATTTGAAACAATTCCGGTTAATAATGTCGCTAAAATCATCAAAACATCGAATATAAGGAAGGTACCGTTGTAGGGGGCTATATGAAAATGTAGACCTACATGGCCCATTCACGAACTTAACCTGCCTACTGGAAATATAAACATGTGTGCAAAACTCTAGCCTTCTATATCAATTCGTTCGAAAGATAGCGTGATTACAACAGACAGACGGACATCGCTAAATCGACTTAGAATTTTACGCTGATCAAGAATATATGTACTTTGTTGGGTCTGACATGAGTATTTCGAGGAGTTACAAACGGAATGACGAAGTTAATATACCCTCCATAGTATGGTGGAGGGTATTAAAATAACGTAATAACGTGTATAAGTACCATATATGATTGAAATGCTTTCCATAAATCAATTGATTTTGGTGATACCCCCATCCCAACCCACTTTATCTAGCCATATTTCTTGGATTATTATCTTGGCTAAAACAATGACTGGAAAAATTCTGCCAGCAGGATCAAATAATCTTGATATTTGGGAGAGAACCTCTCATCATTAAGGAGATTATCTGACGGGATCGAGAGGTGTTGTTTTGAATTGAAGGTCCATTTCCGAATGTTGAATACTGCTGACTTCAGTGATAGGATTAAATCACGTACGGTTGAAATTGCTGTGTGGATATCATGTGCCCCTCGAGGGCACCATCTGCATACATGTTATTCTTCAAAACATGACTACCTAATGGATATGAATCTTGGACGTCAGTGGCTAGTTGGATCATCGTACGTATCGCAAGATACGATGCGCAGTTGACACAAAAGGTTACAGTCTTTAACTCGTAGTCTTTGTTGTTTTAGTTGTATTTTGGCGGAAAAGGATTCTTTAAAAGCGGGTGTGAGAAGAAGGCACAACGATTTGGTGACACATTTTCTCTATATTGCCCCTTAAAACAAAGCGAAAAAACCTCACTTAAGGATAAGAATGGTCAAGTCGTTCTGTAAGTCTGGATCAGAATATAAAACGTCATTAAGACATGTACCATTCGATGTAGCGTAAAAAGCATTGAAAACCACACAGACTTTTGTGATAGAGTTATCTGGCTTTACAACAGCATGATGTGGCAAATGGTAGTTGTCTGGTAATTCTGAGACAGTAGGAGATACTACTGGAATCATATGTCCTAATTTGACATATTCTTCAATATTGAGATCGTATTCTCTTTTCAATTCTGGTTTTTTAATCAGACGACTACAATGTTTGCTTTGGACATTACACGCTGTTGTGGAATAGTGTGGTGGAGACTATTCCACCTCCCAAAATTTCAGAAAACTTTTCTCTAAAGAAATTTCGCGGAAGTACGATACACATGTAAAAAAGGATTTTGAAGCCTTGGTTGGAATTGGACCAGTGAGGATCCATCCAAATACGGTCTCCTGGGTGAATAAGGATCCGCAAATCGCTCGCCGGCAACCAGATAACATGACAAAGGGAAGTAAGTCTGCACCCAATAGGATATCAATCTTGAAGCTTCGGTAAAAGTGCGGATCATCCAAGTCTAGATTTGGTAACGAGGAGAGAATATCAGACCCTATTGTGCTGTAGGGAAGGTTATTGGAAAAATGAGGCACGATAAGGCTGAAACATCAATCTCGAAAGCTTTATCCGCATAGGAACCCAGGATAAAACGATATTCTTTTTGGTCAGCAGCATGAGTGACATCGGTTGAAGAATTACTAGACTGCTTGGAGGAATTTGGAGAAGCTTGGAACGAAAATGTCCCATTTGGGATTTCTAATACAAGTTACGAAAGCTTATATATTATTATTTTTATCTAAATGCTAAATGTTCTTCAGATACATCAAAAACAAAATACGACTTTGCAAAAGTAAATGAACAGCTGATTGTTCAAGTGTACATTGAACTCAGTCTAAATGGAAAGAATTTGGAAGAATTGGAATAATTTGGAATTATATGCTTCACATTGAGCAATCAGTTCTGATTGAGTCTTTCTGCAATGGTACAACACCAAGATTGAGCTGTAATTTCAACTAAAATTGAGTAGCGTATTCTCATTGGATATGCCACCCGAAGCAGAGAGTATAAGCATAGTGTTAAGTCCGCACTATAGGGACTCGGGGAACAAGTGCCGGCGAAGCTCTCCCAATAGAGCCAGTACGTCCAATACGTACCTGTGACCGTCAAAGGTTGGGTGATTGCGAGGAAATATAAATAAAAGAAAACACAGGGCTTTAATAAAAGGTTTGGCCAATTGCCGTGTATTTATTGGTGGTAAACGATATTACCTTTTAATGAGTACAACGATATGTACTTAGCTTACAATATAAGCGCGGTTATTTGCTTGCGATTCAAGCGGCGATCCAACTCGAAGGTATTTGTTTATCTGTGTTGACATTTAGATGCCTAAAAGGTTGGCGGCTTGTCAATTTAATGTCAAATGCCCGTTGAAATCTGTCTATCCTACTACAACAAGGATGTAGTAATTAGGAGTAGACAGATTTTAACGGCTATGTCATATCAAATTAAGGGCAGAGTGTTTAACCATTTTAAACAGCGATTCTACCTTAAACATTTGCCGCCTCCCTTGAAACAACTATATGTTTCAACGAATAAAGATTAAAATAATTATTACAATTTGTGGTATCATAAAGTAGTGAGCAAAACCTTTTACATGTTTTCAACTTTTTTCAATTTTTTTTTTAATTCATTATTTTTTCAAATAAATATGCTTACAATCTAAGCATTCGGGGTCATTAGCGATCTCAGGCCATTAGGGACCAATTACACATTCGGGACTATTAAAGACCCCAGGCCATTAGGGACCTTTTTAAACATTCGGGGTCACTAGAGGCCCCAGGCCATTATGGGCCTTTACCACATTCGAGATCGTTAAGGACCCCAGGCCATTAGGGACCTTGAAACATTTGGAGCCATACGAGGCTCCGGGCCATTAGGGACCCCGCGAAGTGAGCTAAGTAAATGTGTCTGAAGCGGCCGTCATTCAACGAAAAATCCGTACGATATACGAGCGTGAACAGTTATGTGATAGGACCTGTAATAATCCAGCCGAAATGAGTATTCTGAGCGAGCAGCGCACCGGACGAAAACCGAAAACTACGATTTTTGACCAATTTAGGGTACAAATCTGCTCCTATCAAAATATCTACTGGTCGAGAATCACCGAACTGAGGATCAGCCAAAACTATATTGGACAAATCTGACCTCAGGTCCGAAGTGACTGAAATTGTTGGGAGATTTCTCGATATAGAATCTACAACCAACGCTGATGTTTCTAAAATAGGCGATCTATCACAACGACTACGAAGCTTTATGTTACACACCTTTCGACAGGTAGCTGCGACAGTACTATTTACCGCAGAAACTACCGAATTAGTAGACTTTACCGACAGATTTAAGTTTTTCTGAAGTCGTTCCGAAATGAATGACGATTCAGATGCCGGATCTATCAACGCCCTGGCAGGAAAAGGAGCACCATGATGAACTATATTCACCATAGCTGTTCCCAATAGAACTGTCTTATTCTGCGTTACGTAAAACGATTGGCGAACTACATTACCGACCGATGCGACTGAATCAATCGTATTTGAAGCGGGCGTACGATTACTATTAACAATTACGTTTCTTGGTCGAAAGGAGGGGGCAGACGACGACAAATTCGAATTTCTAGGAGTCACAATCTGACTCGGACTACTCACAATAGAGCGATCTCTGTGCAATAGAGTGTGATGTCTCTGACTGCACTTTCGACAAAAACGACTGCTACAATTTTTGACTTCGTGCCCCTTACGAAGGCAATTTACACATAAACGATGCCTTTTTACCAATTTAAATCTTTCCACCGGTGTACCATTTACGAATCGAGGACAAGCATACAATATATGTTGTTGCTCTGAACAAAGAATGCAACAAGAATTAGGAGACACACGAGGGGAGGAATTATGATTTTTCTGACCGGGAGACGCGGGGGAGGAGGAAACAACAATATCAGAGGATACTTCGTTGCGATTCAATTTGAGCGAAGCATCAGTATTCCTCATTTCATGCAAACACAGAAGAGTTCGAATTCTCTCTGTCAAGAATGCATCTAACTCTTTCCAAGATGAAAGAGATGATTTGGTTTTCACATTTTGCTCCCATAAAGCGTGAGTGATTTCAGGCAATTTTTGCAAACAAATAAAAACCACAATCGGATCCCAATTATCCGTTGGTACATCAAAAATTGCCATTGCCGAAAGACAACTATTAACCCCGCGTTGAATAGACTTAAGTCCCGAACTAGTTTCCTGCTCCAATACAGGAAGAGCGAACAATGATTTTAAATGGCTGTGCACAAGCAACCGTGGATTATTGTAAGTGGAATTCAGGGCATTCCACGCTAGTTCGAAACTCCGATGAGTCAAAGGAAACTTCGAGACGATTTCTCGAGCCTCACCACTAGTCTTATTAACAAGATGACATAGACGTTCGATGTCTGTTAATCGAGTGTTATTAATAAAAACCGCACTAAACAAATCTCTGAAAGTGGGCCAAGTCAAAATACTTCCATCGAAGACCTCAATATTACAAGGGGGTATCGCCAAATTGTGAAAGTTATCTACATTTAGAGGATCAACAACAAAGCTTGTGCCTATTCTAGGATTCCCAATATCCAAAATTGCGGAGTTAGATGCCTGTGTTCCCACATCCCGAGAAGAGTGAGACGACGAGCTAATGTTTTTAACGGAAGCATCAGAAGACAGCTTTTCTACAAGAATAGTATCTGGAGGCTCTGTTAAGGAATCTACTGAACTGTTGCGAGATGAGTTCAGGGACACTTTTGATTCACTCTGAAATTTAGACAACAATCGTTTAATCGCCGATGCGCAAATCATATATTCTTTGGACGAAACCTCGAATTTGCTGTATAGAGAATCAAGATCTTCAGGAGTTTCTAGATGGGAGAGACAATTATTGAATGTTTCCTCAACCAATTTCCACAATTTTCCAATTTCTTCACTCCTGACCTGAAGATCATAAATATCAAGCTCTTCTTTCTTCATTGCACCGAAATGTGCAGTGAACCTCACCAAAGAGTTAGAAGCTCTTAGAAACTTTTCAAAAGGAGTGAAGGCCATTTCAAAAAAGGAGGAATTTAGCAAAAAAATTGCCGACAAAATGAAAAGGCAGTACGAAAACAAAAGAGAATCGAATCGTAAACAACGAATACAAAACCAAAGTAACGATTTTATGAAACAAATTGCGATATTCAACGAAAAGAGCTACCAATTGCAGCGTATTAGGATAAAGAGGTCACTATAGAAAAGTTAAAAATGTTTAAAATTAACAATTTGCAACGAAACTTTTATTGCAAATGACACGATAAAAATCAAATATAGCAATATATAAAAAACAAGCTACCGATTGTAGCGTATAATATTTTTTAAACACAACTGGATACTCAAAAACCCTACCAGATTAAAAATTTGCAACAATATGCAAAGAAATCTCCTTTGTTTTAAGCCAAATGGTCACTAACAAATAAACGACTAAGTTCTGGTTGTTAAGGACGAATAGCTTATTAAAAAATCTACCGATTGTAGCGTACAATAATTCACGACAGTAAATTTTCACTCAGAAATTAAAACACTTTTTATAATCAGCCAATTTATTTATTTTGCAACTATATGCAAAAGAAGCGCCCTACACAACTAAAATGTCCAATTGACCGATTGTAGGGTGCACAACAATTCAAAATGTCCAAAGATATTTTCAAAATGCTCCCCTACACTGATTTTATATATTTACAATAAAATATATAATTACTGGTATCGGTACTAATTTACCGACCAAACACTGTGTAATAATATAGTGGCGGGAGACTGTGCAATAAAAACGGACACGACACAAAAGAGAATTGCCCAAACGAAATATTTATGTGCGTATGCGTATGTATGCTTGTCGCATGCAATTGACTGATTGACCGACTAGACGGAACGACAAAGCGACGATGCTGGAGTATGTAACAATACGTACGTGTGTGTAACAAACAAATATACAGCCGCCAATAGGCTGTAAAACGTACGTATGTCACTCACGTAAATATGAATATATTTTTGTATATTTCTAATGCCGCAAAAATGAAAACAGTAAGAAGAAGTGAACTGGTAATGTTGAGGGATGCAGTTTAAAAATCTAACAACAAACTATCGATGTCAACAATATTGACTGCGAGGTTTGAGAATAATAAGAACCAAACACAAAAACCGAAAATATTAATTTTGTTTTGATTTTATTATTCCCGTATGTCTGTTCGAAAATGGACTTTGACCGATCGCGAAAAATGGAATATGCAAAGTGTTGTTATGACGGCCACAAACAAACGAAACACTTGTTATTGTTTTGCTCACTATACGTACCGATATAGGTTGATGCAAATAAATGATGTTGTGGACTGTAATTTCAGCAACCATACGAGTTTACCAATATGAAGGGCAGCGATCCTTCGGATCCGGCTCGAAGGACCAATGTTAAGTCCGCACTATAGGGACTCGGGGAACAAGTGCCGGCGAAGCTCTCCCAATAGAGCCAGTACGTCCAATACGTACGTGTGACCGTCAAAGGTTGGGTGATTGCGAGGAAATATAAATAAAAGAAAACACAGGGCTTTAATAAAAGGTTTGGCCAATTGCCGTGTATTTATTGGTGGTAAACGATATTACCTTTTAATGAGTACAACGATATGTACTTAGCTTACAATATAAGCGTGGTTATTTGCTTGCGATTCAAGCGGCGATCCAACTCGAAGGTATTTGTTTATCTGTGTTGACATTTAGATGCCTAAAAGGTTGGCGGCTTGTCAATTTGATGTCAAATGCCCGTTGAAATCTGTCTATCCTACTACAACAAGGATGTAGTAATTAGGAGTAGACAGATTTTAACGGCTATTTCATTTCAAATTAAGGGCAGAGTGTTTAACCATTTTAAACAGCGATTCTAACTTAAACACATAGGTTGCAATAGAATGTATGTGGCTGAGAAGAGAACAATAAGTTGAGTTTTAATTTCTGCATATACGAGAGAAGCGCATTCTCAGTGGACATGCGCATTCGAATAATAGAAAAGAAGTGAATGATGCTGAAACTGAGTTAACAGAATTATGCAAGCTCTGATCACCACATACATACACAATAGTAGCATATACTCACTCAGATCAAAGTCGACGCAGATAGTTAAGCTGAACAAGTTAAAAAGCAGTAAGTTCGGCTGGGCCGAACTTTGAATACTCTCCACGATTTGGAACAAACTCAAATACTGCTGACTTCAGTGATAGGATTAAATCGCGTACGGTTGAAATTGCTGTGTGGATATCATGTGCCCCTCAAGGGCACCATCTGCATACATGTTATTCTTCAAAACATGACTACCTAATGGATATGAATCATGGACGTCAGTGGCTAGTTGGATCATCGTACGTATCGCAAGATACGATGCGCAGTTGACACAAAAGGTTACAGTCTTTAATTCGTAGTCTTTATTGTTTTAGTTGTATTTTGGCAGAAAAGGATTCTTTGAAAGCGGATGTGAGAAGAAGACACAAGGATTTGGTGACACATTTTCTCTATATTGCCCCTTAAAACAAAGCGAAAAAACGTCACTTAAGGATAAGAATAGTCAAGTCGTTCTGTAAGGCTGCATCAGTATATAAAACGTCATTAAGACATGTACCATTCGATGTAGCGTAAAAAGCATTGAAAACCACACAGACTTTTGTGATAGAGTTATCTGGCTTTACAACAGCATGATGTGGCAAATGGTAGTTGTCTGGTAATTCTGAGACAGTAGGAGATACTACTGGAATCATATGTCCTAATTTGACATATTCTTCAATATTGAGATCGTATTCTCTTTTCAATTCTGGTTTTTTAATCAGACGACTACAATGTCGAATAAATTGGGCCATTGCACCTTTTCTAGACTGACCCAAGGTTAGTGAATCGGAATATTCTTCTTTAAACGGAAGCAAAACCTTTTATCTTCCATTTTCATCTCCAGTTGTCGTTCTCTGATAATTTTCATCACAGTGTCTATCTGTTTTGGACATTACACGCTGTTGTGGAATAGTCTCCATCTCCCAAAATTTCAGAAAACTTTTCTTTAAAGAAATTTCGCAGAAGTACGATACACATGTAAAAAAGGATTTTGGAGCCTTGGTTGGAATGGGACCAGTGAGGATCCATCCAAATACGGTCTCCTGGGTGAATAAGGATCCGCAAATCGCTCGCCGGCAACCAGATAACATGACAAAGGGAAGTAAGTCTGCACCCAATAGGATATCAATCTTGAAGCTTCGGTAAAAGTGCGGATCATCTAAGTCTAGTTTTGGTAACGAGGAGAGAATATCAGACCCTATTGTGCTGTCGGGAAGGTTATTGAAAAAATGAGGCACGATAAGGCTGAAACATCAATCTCGAAAGCTTTATCCGCATAGGAACCCAGGATAAAACGACATTCTTTTTGGACAGCAGCATGACTGACATCGATTGAAGAATTAGTAGACTGCTTGGAGGAATTTGGAGAAGCTTGGAACGAAAATGTTCCATTTGGGATTTCTAATACAAGTTACGAAAGCTTATATATTATTATTTTTATCTAAATGCTAAATGTTCTTCAGATACATCAAAAACAAAATACGACTTTGCAAAAGTAAATGAACAGCTGATCGTTCAAGTGTACATTGAACTCAGTCTAAATGGAAAGAATTTGGAAGAATTGGAATAATTTGGAATTATATGCTTCACATTGAGCAATCAGTTCTGATTGAGTCTTTCTGCAATAGTACAACACCAAGATTGAGCTGTAATCTCAACTAAAATTGAGTAGCGTATTCTCATTGGATATGCGCACCCGAAGCAGAGAGTATAAGCATAGGTTGCAATAGAGTGTATGTGGCTGAGAAGAGAACAATAAGTTGAGTTTTAATTTCTACATATACGAGAGAAGCGCATTCTCAGTGGACATGCGCATTCGAATAATGGATTTCTGGTTTCATAACTTGTGCAATCATATATACAAATTAATAGTGCTTATGTTAGATGCTGGGTAAAGTCTCCATTGGT